CATGCGTTTTTCTTCGTTCACATCCTTTCCTTTTTGCAATAAAGCCAACTCATATGCTAAATTTCTTTGTCTGAGAACCAATCTTAATTGCAATGTTTAATGTTGCAAACAGAGCCCTTTGTTGTAATCGGATTTTGACAGTTTTTCTTTATCCAAAGGAATATCTATTGTAATATTTGTTATAAACCACTCTCATTAAATATGTTTGTGTTAATCAAAATTGTATATGTATTCAAGAATATTACTAGAAAGATTGTTGTTGGTTTTTAAAACAATCAATCAAGGACTGTACTTACACTATATCCTCGATTCTCCCCAATAAATATTTTTATTACTAACTCTGCGTTCTTACAATCTATTATCCTCTGCGAATGATTTCCTCCTGAACCGAACGAAGAATACCTTCTCAAAATATTCGTCTGTGCCTAAGAACCCACCCTTTCAAATCAAACCCGACAAACAAAGTTTTATTTCTATTTTCCTACAATTATAACTCCACAGAGATATCCGTAAGAAATCCCTGAAGGTCAATGATTAACCTTTGTTAACCTACGATAACTAGAAGATAACGTGTGTCAATTTAACAGCAAAAAGCATAATTTTAGGCAAAGGTTTATAATTACTTGTACATTTCATCGCACTGCGACAGAAGTTCACATGATTGGTAGAGTGAGAGATATAGTCCACGTCTTTCATTTATCTTTAAGATTAGTTTTATGATCTTATATAGAATATTAAAATCCCATCTCACGTGACTCTTTACCAATTGGAATTTCGTTTCAATGAATTTCGACATAAAAATATAAGGGGAGGAAAATGACTGCAAAGCAGTGCTGAAATATCTTTTTGATTCGCCTTTTGGATCGAACATTGAAAACTTCTTGGATGGTTCGCTTGCAAGTTCCCAATATCTTGCTTTACAGTTCACAGCACCAAATCCCAAACTCCAAACATTTAAATACGCGCGACAAAAATAATCTCAAGAAGGAATGTAAATTTTAATTTAAGTCACAAAATTAATTATCTAAAAATCACTTCTGCATATATTCTGCTCAGGGTTGATAACTATGGTTCTTCTACAAGGATGTGAGCAGCAGCGGCATCATCACTATCGCCATTAGCATCAGCTGATATTTGGCAGATGAGTGATCAATCAATTCAAGTCATCAAATCCTCGCCAGAATTCTTCAAAAGATCACAATATGTTTTATTTGCCGAGCCAGCGAAAAAAAAAAATAGCTATGACCAAAGCTGATTGGTGACACTAAAGGATATTTGGAACCATAAAAAAAAAGAAACGACATATCAATCCAACACTAATATTATATTACAACGCAATCTCGACTGGCAACTCTTACCTGTGACTTCTACTTTACACTTACCTTTTGGCACTATAATTCATTCCTCGCAACAGCTGCTTCCCACTTGCCATCTTTGACCTTTTCTGCGTCAAAAGGTAAGTGTAAAGGCAACATTCGTGGAAATAAGAAGGAACACTAAGGCAATTTCGAGCGATCAGAATCCTCCTTGCAAATAGTTTTGCTGATAACAAAACGACACCTTATCAGCCCAGCAAAAAACAAACATTAATAGTCTGAGAAATTGAAGATGATCCCAAAATTTATTTTTGCAACGTGACGCTTTCATAAATTAAATGGAAGCGATGATGATAAAGCACAAGCAATTCCCCAACTGCAGTTATATGTCGCATTGAGACCTCAAAAGTAATTCCTCTCACTAAGACGAAGGCATTATTAATGTAGTGGTGGCGACTTCGTGCATAATAGTCATTGTTTGATTTGTTTGCAGCAGTTCAGAAACGAAAAACTTTATTTCTAAATACTCTGCCATGCTGAGATATGAGAAATATGATCCTTAACGGAGATCCAAAACTTTCAAAATTAAATCACCAAATTTGGGAAACATTTAACACTTAGAAGACAAAAATTGGAAAATTTATTAGAAATATAGAAATCGGGCATTTCCATAGGTTGACATAAGTAATACCACTGAAACAAAAAAATATACAAATTAAGTTCAATTTGACAAAATTCCTAAAAATGGCTGGAAAAAATTAAACTGTTTGAAAAGCGGGAAGATCACGGAACCTTCAATCTAAAAGCATTAGCCAGCGCTCAAATATTTGCGTCCAGCAGCTGAAGATCGAACGCTGAAATAGATCTCTAAGCTCCAAATCAGACTTTTTCATTTTCGTTTTGATGAAAACTATTGCCATTTAGGCCCTTAAATCTTTGTCCATTGACATAAATCACTTCCTCCTTTCCTCTCCTAAAGTATCGATACACTTAATGGAATTCGCAAAATCTCTACTCTTTAACATTATGTGATCTGAACAGAAATTAAATATGCTTCCCTAAATCTTGCTAAGAAGTATGATTTTGCTATTTTTCAGTCAAGATATCGCAAGTGATCGTAATTCAAAAGAAAGAAAGAAAAAAGTCAGATACTAAATATCTGCATACTTGATAATATTTTACATCGTAATACGTCAAAATTACCATTGTTGAAGCAGAAATTGAGCCATTTCAATCTGACTTGGTGTGCCTGATATAGTAATAATCCTTTCACCGTTTGGGTCTTCCTCCTCGATTTTGATATGTGCACCCGATTCATCGCGAATACGCCGAATACGCTCACCACCTCGACCGATGATTGTACCGCCCAACTCATTTGGCACAGTCACCTAAATTTAATTAAGTTTATGAAGCACTAAAGATGTATGCTACCACAGAAAAATGTAAAGTGCAGGTAGGAAGGATATAATAATTATTAGCAGGGGGAAATACAAAAGAACTTTTTTCTTCTTTTTTTGCCTAGAGAATCTGAGCAAGTTGGAAATACAGAGCAATGCAATGGCCAATTATATCTCAAACATGAAAACTTACTAAGCTAATTCAATAGAGAGTATTATTTTAAATAATGCATTTCAAATACGTCATATCTCAATAACATTATGGTTGTAGCATTTAAATGGTGAGCAAAATTATTATCTTCCCGGCTCTATTCGATAATATACTTCTAAAGAGCCATATCAAATGCTATTGATTTTCAATCTGATTTGTGGCAGTATCAACAAGGTATACCTGTGCCGTTTCTAGAGGTCCATCATCGTATGCAGGTGGTACTGGCCCATAAGGTGGCAAAGGAATTCGACTTCGTGGGCCGTATCCTCTCATTCCGCGTCCACCATGATCGCCAGCATAACCTCCGTATTCATTTGCAACCACTGGATCAAAAAAAATCGATTCATATGGACGTGAAGGTCCTTTAATTGGAATCTAAATATGAAAACCTCGTTTCATAGTTTCTATATTCAATTATCCAATAACCAATAGAGAGCACCATCTTCTGCTTCTACATGTTCCATTTGATGAAAATAACAATCAAAAAAGGAACTTGAATATACGGAAGAAACCAAGTACTTCAGCCTACATCACTACTCATCAAAAGATAACTGTTATTATTGCTGATATCTGGGGGGAAAAAAAACTATCAAAACTAGCATGTAAAGCAGTGGACTAAAAAATTTAACTATACTTCTTTCAGCGTACTGATAATTGTAACCAAGCAAGCCACAATTTTTTCTGGTTTCCCATTAATCTGGATAATACGTTCCGTCGATTGAGGACAACATTCTGAATACACCTATAAAAACATGACAAGCTTCTTTATTGGCTTAGAACGATATATAAGATTATAAGAGAACCTGTTAATTATATAAGTGTTGCCTGAAACAACCTTGAGATCAACGCCGTTTTCCTCACGTAACTCCTTGATGCGACTTCCTCCACGACCAATGACAGCACCTGCATGAGATTGATGTACCAGTACTTTCAGTTCTGAATCGCGGTCCTGATTGTCGTGCACCTAAAACACGAATATCCAGAATGAAGTTCCTCTATATCCTAATATTTCAAAAGGTATTTACTACACGACACACTTGAATTTGTCTATTAAGTTAGAGTGCTTTGAATATTTAGGAAACAATAGGCAAAGAATCCCATTATCTCCTTTCTACTTTTCTAACAATTTTATTACTGTTATCGATCTTGTATGAGTGTTTCCGAAAGTTGATAGCGGATCAGGCACTACAGAGGCACGAAAGGGAACGTATCCTAGAACTTCAAACGATTCTATTTTGTCTACGAAAACCATTAAATTAACATATAGAAAAATGGATTTCGGTAGCGGCTGAATAACGAATACCATGAATTTTCTTTAGGAGAATGAAGTAAAAGGTTACATATGGCGCATATTTACTTCCTAAGTATTTACCAACCTCATCGATTCGCGCAATTATCATTTCTACACATCTGACGACATTTTCAACCGTTGCAACTAACTGTACCACACTGCAATTGGAATATCGAAAAATTTCTGGAATCACTATATGATAAGAAAGACAATTAAACATGCAACAAACAACGTCAATTATGCTACACTCTCTCAAATTAAAACAATAATTTTGTTTCAAGAAGTATGCACACTGATGTAAGCATAGAATATAAAAATGGCAGCAGACCTGACCTTCCGATTCGAACCTAACATGTTGGTAAAGAATCTTAATGGAAAAGTAATGAGGCTTGAAAAATCTATCATAAATCACGAATGTACTAATATGAACGTGAGATACGTACTATACATGACACAATGATCCAAATGTATATCCCAGAAGTAGATGGAAGAATCTTTGTAAATGATCAGATGCTAGCCGCAGAGGTGCGGATATTTAACGATCATTTACCAGCTGTCTAGCTAATCCTCCATGTCAAGAAACCAAAATTAATCCACCAAGAAAACCAGAAGGTCGGAGTACTACCATTTTACTACCGTTTCAGCTTCTAATAGAGCATATTTTAATATTGAAGTTATTTAATTTTTCATCTCTTACAACAAGAGTAAAATAATCTTTAAAAAACTGTTCATCGAACAAAGGCAACCGGCAGAGAGAAGTTGGTATAACAATGGGCGGGCCGCTATCCAGGTGGGCCAAATCAACACACCGCTGCCAGTGAGTTACTTGGCCCTGCTTGGCCGTAGAAGTAGCATACCACCAAATCTTCTCAATCCAGTTTTGCCGTACTTCAGTAAAATACAGGGAGGACTGGAAGGAGGGTTTACCGTTCAGGCGTCTGGCTATCGGGGACCGATACAGTCGCGTCGCACTGCAATGGGTTACTTACATTTAGACAGTTATACATAGCAACATGTTTTAATAGGTTTAAACCGGGTTTAACTAAGTCTTAGCCGAATTAGTTCATATCCATACTTCCCAACTAAAATCCACAATAATACATGAGTTGAAGCCCACATTCTCCAGGTTCCGACTGTAGCTTCAGCAATTTATCACCTTAAGTTTTCCAACTGTCAACTTAGACATACTTTCTAAAAGAAAAATCTCCTGAACCAACCAGCAGGAGATTTTTTTCAAACATTGGAAGCAACTTTCGGAGGAAATGTTACGAATATTTTCCGGCTGCCGAACTTCCAAAGATTAACATCCATTCCCTTGCTACGATATATACAGTGTACATGGAGTACCTCACACTGACTTAAAATCATTCATGTTAACTAAAATCAAAAAAAGCTGACCATTTTATGCCTACAGCTAAAGGAGATATACCTCGGCTTGGATATTTTTGACACTTTCACCCTTTTTGCCGATAATTGCACCAGCTCCTCGACTTGTTACCAGTAATCGTAATTCATATTTTCCCTCAGCCAGAGCTTTTTGATATGAATCTTGTCGCTGTCGTTTTCCAGCAGTCAACCCAGTACCATAACCGTAACTATAACCATATGGATCTTCGATTCTCTGGCGTTTCATAATCTGATACTAAAATCATGCACCGCAATTACATATCTGATGATGTTGACGCACAAAGTTAGAAGATTCGTGGTTAATTAAAGCAGTTATTTCTCGACACATCAAATGTTTAGCATACAGTAACATTTTAAACATCATAGTAGTTGAATTAAAACATTTCGAATCCGTTGGTGTTTTCATAGTGTAAATGATCCGAGCTAAACTAAGCATATCCATAATATCAGAACATACAGAACAATTTCCAGCTACACAAATCACATATAGATAGGAATCTTCCACTTTAAAAATATGAGAAAATGGGCAGTACAGGTTGTTATTAATCTTCTGCCCTTCTCTTGACGTTTATATACAGTAAACCACCTATAAATTCTTATCTATCTTTGCCACCTCCCTGACCCCAGCAGTCTTTTTTTTGCTTACAATCACTTCTTCTATGTAACATGCGTATTTATCAATTTCTCAGCCCCTACATAGCGTGGTATTTCGCACATTATGACTGGTCTTATTTCATTTGACGTTATTACACTGTCTTCTTGTTTTCAATCTCCGCCTCCCCATCTTTGGTATTTTTTCGACCTTTAAAATTCTTCAAATATACGGCTCTCTACCATTCGAATGGAACATAATTAACTCCAAGCCTGATCAAACTAGACTGCCACTATGCGTAACCCCTCGTGAGCCAACCGCGCAACACATATATTGACAGCTACTCCTGTTTGCCACTATGCAACTAATTGGTTCAGTAACATCTTTCAATATTACTTGATTACGCCTTATGTATATCTTTAACTTTGATCTGAATAGCCCTTTATAGTTAAAAAAAAAAAGAAAACGAAAAACAGAATAATTGCATAAAACCCTTTAACACTCACGAAAAGATCATCAATCTGTATATTCATGGAATCAACTCGCTCCTTACTCTTGCCTCACAGTTCAATTTTTGTGAGCCGTTGAAGTTAGTTTACCTTCTTCAATTTCTCCAGTAAACTCGTTCATCGGCTCGTCAATGTTATAGTGGCAATTGAGAGGACAGTGTCATATGTCTCCTCATACTCACTGGTGACAGGAAGGCGGTGTTATCAATGAACGCAAAGTTCCAAAATCAAAATCGATAAAGCATCTTTCATCTGGCTTTTGGCATTGGCTTGCTAATCGAAGCCTTATTTAATTTTCCGGAGTGACCAACGTCAGAATGATTCGTATCCATCCGTCCATCCATTCTGGCACTTTCCTTCCCTAATATAGAAAGGACGAGCTATGCTGGTGAATGCACCTGTCTTGTCTAATCCATCTACATTGGAAGAAATTTTGCAACCAGTTTGGCATACAGGAATGTCTGATCCATCTTACGTATCTACAGAAATCTGTGATCCATCTGGGCATCTGCAGGAATCTCTGATCCATCTTAGCATTTACAGGAATCTGCGATGCATCTGAAGTACTCGCTTTAAAGGCTTTCCCTTGAACTTTCTTCTTTCATCATTCAGTGCCGAAAGAGAAGGGAGAGAATGAACTCGATTTCCATTCCAGGGGGGGAAGAAGGGAGAACAGGAAGGTATTCCCAATACAATTTTGTTTATATAAAACTGTTATACGACGATGGGCGGTAGTGAATGATGTCAGGAGGTTTGAATTGTGCACTGTCGGTCAGGGTAGATGCGAGGACAAGCAGCAGGAAACCTTTCGGTAAACAAACAAATCGGACGTGGATGTGTTGTTCTCACTGCCTCTATGTTGTCTTTTCCGGTTTTTCGATACAAATTTGTCGTAATTTTTTTTTCTTGGAAAAAGGCATTCATTTTGTTGTTTGTGAATGGATGACAACTGGTGACAGTTGATCGTTCAAACAGAACTGTTCGAGAGACGCGACATGTACGTCACGACACATCAGGATGAATAAAAGAAGAGGAACTGAATTTTGCTAAAAATTCTTTTGTTCATATTGACTGCTGTCTATTCAATTTATTGAGAAGCAATTCTTCGATTCTTCCAAAGTTCACTTTGTTTCGATGTGAAATCCATGCTAACTCTATGAAATGACTCATGACGTGACTCACAACTCTCGCATTTTTCACACAATTAGGAATCTGAAGCTTTGAATACGAATAGTTCTATTTTTTGGAGCACTCCTGCAATTAGCATTCCCGATTCACGGCTTTCTGGAAATTAATGCAGGTTTTTTTTTACCTTTTTCACGCTTGCGCTAGTATTGGCAATAGTTAATAATTAATATCTTTCGAAGTCGAGATCCATCAGGTGCTTGCCAATTTCTTAGCCAAAGAAGACTTTTATGATGAATAAACTGCAGAGAATTGATTGATTCAACTTGGCAATCGTGTTCAGTTAATCCTTGCAGTTCACTGCCGGATTGATTCGATTTTCCGTATTTTATTCATCAAAAGGTCAGTAGGTCAGTGGTAATGATTTGTGTTGGAATAATTCTAATAAGAGAGTGATGATGTCGCTACCAATAACGCAGAAGCGATAAAGTGAAAAATGATAAGCCATTTTGAGCATAACTTCCTTCATCTACTGCCATATTACCTTCTTGCGAATTGCTCCATATGCAAGTATAGTGGTTTTGTTTTCTATAGAAAATATTAGATGTTTGGTAATTAGTAAACTACCCTACTTATCACTTTTGCAACTTTTGTGCAACGTTCTTGGTTTCGTTTTCAGAATTTCGATTTCGAGTGATAAATGGTGAAGGAAGCACGTACCTTAAAGGTCAAATGCATCTTAGATGCTTGTCAATTTATGAATTTCATTTTTAATCACTTTTTATTGTGATTGTTTTATTTGATCTATGCACACAGAGCACTCGGGCACTCCTAATTCTTCCTAGACTTTCATTCCCATTTTCTGCCCCGATCTTTTGGAAACTTTATTTTGATCCAAAATTCAACATTTCTAGAGATTCCTATCTTTTTCCCAAATTTTTTCAGGCAAGCCATTCTGTGACCTAATGTAGTATACATAATAAATTGCTGTACTTTAAGACTGGGATTCGTTTACAAAACGCAAAAAAAAGTCTTCATTTAACAGGAAATTAAGGAGATGGAGTCAAAATTACATGGACAGGATATTTTTTGAAGAAAATTACACAGAATCTACCAATACTTTCATTATTGAACATTCAATGTCCATGAGATTTTTATGTAAAATTTGTTCAAATTTAAAACTTTTGTAAGAAGAAGCAAGGATATAGTGTATGATCGTTTTTTACCCGCTTCAACTCTGCATGTAAGTGTATCCGTTCATCCATTCCTTTCTTTTTTTTTGGATTCGAGGGAAAGCATTGATGATGATTTTAGTTTCAGCGAAGTTCATTTTTGACTGTCGACTGCCGCTGAAAGTTTCGATTTGACTAGTCATATTGAAGCACAATGATTCCACATTTTCAATATTAATGCATTGTATTTCAAGAAATGGAAGACTAGAGACTGGAAAGAGCGGAAGAAATAGGACTTCGAGAGCTTTTAAAGTTTCAAAATTTCACTCTAAATCTTAATGTAAACTGAGCACAGTGGTACTAAAAAGATCTCCACGTATTTCATACAACTGATACCATATCAGACATCTCTTTAAATACTAAGTACTTTATATCATGATCAAGAAATGCATGCATGCCTTGCATATATACTGAAGTGGAGTTAAAGGCAGTGTTACATACTGTTGAATTAATAGTTTTCTTTTGCAGTGTGTGTTTAGTAAAGATGAATTTCATCTGTCGATGAGAGCAGTCTCCCTTTTGCGATGGTAATACCCTGGGTGCGAAATGTTGTGGAATGACAGCTGGGAATGTAGTGATAGCCAAATAGTTCTCCCAATCTTGTTTAGCAGCGTTCCAGCAAAGTTTAAGATGAAGAAAACTGCAAGATTTTTTTAGCAAAGTAAAACTGATGTCACCTATTGGTCTTCTAAAAAGGTCATAAATAATGGAAATAGAGTATCCATGCAACTAACCAATAACTGTTTTAATCCAACAACAAGAGCGTTGGAAATTTCGCTTGCCGGAAGGAACACTCAAAATTTCTCGGTGGTTAAGAAAAAAGCTGACCGCCCATGCCTCCTAATAAAAATCTGAGCAAAAATACCTAACTCTTTTTCCACTGGGACGTTCCTGATTTCACAATGGTCGCGACATCGCGGTTACGTGTCAATAGTTACGGTCCGGTTTTCGTTGATTGGTCGTTGCATTTTTTGTTGAGTGTTGTGACGTGGATTAAATTGAGAGTTTGTGGTGGGTACTTTTTGTTATTGTTTTCGTGCACCTCGGCTAGTTAATTTTAGTTGTTTGAAGGATATTTCTGGGCTCTCAAGCTCTGTTGCGGCTTTCGGACTTGACTCGGCTCGTCTTAAATGTGATAAAGACTTGCACCACAATAAAGGCTATTGTAGTTCCAAAAGAGGCTACTTTGATTGTACTCCTTATCTCTCTGACAAGCCTATTATAATGTCGGAATAAGTCTACTTCAATGATAGAAACAGAATTGCGCTAATCAGAATGAAATCCCTGTCTCTCGGACACACACATACATAACACACTACATATACACACCTACTACATACACGTACATACACATATAAACACACACATATATATATACACACACACACACACACACACACTATATATATATATATATATATATATATATATATATATATACACAGGACATTCCCATTTCCTTCGAACATATTCATGGTGTGAAATAGTGTGTTAATAATAATAATAATAATAATAATAATAATAATAATAATAATAGGAAGAAAAAGGGGAAGAATAATAATGATTATATGTTAATGATAACATTGTAGTCGTTGTTATACAGTGATTTATATGAATGACCGGTTTAAATGTATAATAAAGAATATCGCAGACAGATATTGTGCATTGAAATAAAAATAAAATTTCAGAAGTGATAAATTGCAATGAATCGCGATGGGATCATAGAAGGAAGAACTTGACAACGATTCATTTACTATTTACAGTATCACGAATGGTGAATGGAGTAATGATTGGGAGTGGAAATGGTGGAACTACTGTAACAAATACTTCCAGTACTACTGTAATAAATACTGAATCTGAAGACATGAAGATACCGAAGAATCGGAGGCCCGTTTTCTCTCAAAGTATGACCTACTATATAGCTTGGATATATGAACTCTATCACTGC